AAAGTATGCCTGCATAGTACTTGATTTTTTTTAAGGATAAAGATTAATATTCTTTTTTATCATATATGCAATAACATAATTGTAACACCCATCATAAGCATTTTAGAAATGGCTATTAAAGGCTTTACTTCAGTGGAGCTGTCTCCATTTACTGCCCCATAAAGAGAAATAACGTTCTTGGTTGCCTTCCTAGGACAGCATCAGTCTCTTGATCAGCAAATGCTGTCAAATATTACCTCTTTGATAAAAATAAAGAAATGGGGGAAATATATTTATATTTACAAATACACATATATACAATAGCAACTGTACAATTGAAGTAAAAGCCATAATAGAATGAGGGATAATGTAAATGAAGAATCAGCACACGGTACTCTGACACAGAAGGAAATTACAAAGAGCAAAAGCACTCAGCATTCATATTATGATGAACCATGACCTGCAATGACTCAGAACATTGCTACTTTAAATGAACTCTTAAATTCTGGAGCATCAGACATTCATCCCAAAATATTCAGGGAAACAATAATTTTCTCTTTTTAAGCAAAGAACTTCTCTGATTGGAAACTGAGACAGCAAGGCAATGTTTGCCTGAATCTGCTCCCAGCTGGAGACCAACAGCCTGAAGATGAACTCAATGCTCCATTAGATCCAGAGGATATATTCAGGTACACTTATGAGGAACAAATTCCACCAGGAGGAGTTAACAAAGGTCCAAGCAGGTCCTTTGTTGATGACCTCTATGTATTGCTGCACTTGAATGTTTTGATGCCCAGCCCATATTCCTTTTCCTTCCAAAATATTCACTTTTATTGACTCGCTATAGATGCACGCTTAAAAGTCATTGACTACTTTAAAACTGTTGCCTCCCTGAAATACTGATAGCTTTAGAATTCCTTTCTGCTTACATTTGAAAGCTATCACTCAAAAATCTCCTTTTTTTTAAGCATTCATTAGGTTATTTTATTTTCTGAACCATTACATGCTTGTGGCCCTTAGCAATGCTGAAGGACTGATATCAGATCCAGCTGTGACCCATTTTTGAGCAGAAAAGTTGTGTTGAGACCCTTCTGTAGGAGTGATGTCCAGACCTCACTGTCTAGGGCACAGGTATCCCCTCTGCAACCTTTGGAACAACCTGTACAGCTTCTCTGGGCTCTACAGCTGAACAGGAGTAGGTAGCAAGACAATTTCTTCTCTTAGGAAACTCCACAATTAGGACTCTTCCACCTGACCCCTCACTCTTGACAGCCCAAAGAGATTTTTCTTACAGAATTCCATAGATCCAACAAAGCTCACCCACTTGTGCTGTGTGTCAAACTGCTGAGTAGAGAAGTACAAAGGGAAAAGAGAACAATTCTAAGGAAAGGTGTGGAATTTGGAATCAGAGGACTCTGAATCAGAAGACAAGAGGCTGGCTGGTCCCTATCACATAATTCAATTCCTACATTTTAGCCTGAAGGCATTGGCAGCACTTCAGCTACTGGGTATTACAGGACTAGCATTCCCAACTATTCTGAAGCTGACTTTAGAATTAGCCCAAGATAATTCCCTGAAGGCTGTTTCCCAGGTGAGTACCACCACCAAGTACCACCAACCAAGTACAACCAGTTCAGCTCCCCACAGACCTAAATTCAATGTTTTTCAGAAATCTGTTGTTTCTCCAAGAGCCAGTGACACTTGTTAAAATTGTATCACTTCTATGTCAAAAGTCCTGGTTTTGAAAGAAATGAGGCTTTACACAGTGATTATCATATTTCCAACATGAAATTCTGGGTTTAAAGGAAATAAACACAACTAATTTTCTGATGAAGGCTAACTAAAAATGACTGTAGAAGCTCTCTGGTTACCTCTTCAGAAAGACAGGAAACACTGGGGAGAGAAAAAAGTCCAGGGACAGAAAAAAGGGAAGCATGGAGTCACCAGAGAGGCCTTGTCTCAGTTGCTTTACATCCAGCAGCAATCCTGACAGTGCCAAAGGATGTTCCATGCCATGCTTTCTGCATATCACACCTTGCCAGAGATTTCCACTTCTATGAAGGTTGTATTTTTTCTAATAGTATGTGAAGCTCCTCAAAGCCATGTTGAAGAGGTAACTGTATGAACATTTTGCAGACATCCCCTTACAGGAAAGGTGAACAGACACAGGAATTAGATGCTTTGTTTTAGTAGCAAAACTCATCTGGGAATATTCCTAAATGGTATCAAACACTTAAATGAACTAACTTCTGACTTTCACAGATGCCTTTGTCCTGCACAAATACTGGATGAGAACAGTCTGGGGTGACAGGGGAAGTATTTTCTATCCTAAGATTATTACTGTCCAGCTCCTTTCTGTCTGGATCCTCGAATGTTACAGCCTAATGTTGCTTGCTCAGAAACAGCACAGCTGGCCAGTTAGCTCTGCTGTTTGGAGGAAGGATATTCCATGCTGCTAGGGCACAGGGACACTGAGTGCAACCATGGAAATGTAGCCCTGGGAATCCAACCCTGGCTGTTCACACACTGCTGGGTGAGAACATTTAAGCTGCCTGGAAATACATTAATATTTTCAACTGAGAAAGGTCCAAGCAGCAGCTACACAAACTGTCTGTGAAAATCAACAAGTTATGGGATGGAGAAGATTATTTTAACAGCACTTCCAGTGTCAAGGCACTAGAGATGGCCAGGGAATCTGTCTCTGAAAATAGCACTCAGCATTCAGCTGAGGCAGAAGCAATCCTGGTTTGGTAAAAGGTTCTCTTCATTTCTATTTTCAAGTTTTGTATTGCATATTTTGTATGATATACCCTAATTTATCCTGTTGCTTTGCCTGTTTGGTTTGGGTTTTTGTTTAGTTTTTTTTTGTGGTTTTGGTTTTTTGGTTTTTAGGGGTTTTTTGGGGGGAAGAATGATGGAGGAGGGAGGAAAAGGGTAGTTTGCAAGGAAGCAGATAATGGCATTTACTTTTTAATCTTTTCTTATAGAATCCAACCCATTAGGGGCCTGAATGGAGCTTTTGTGCACCTAAAATATATGTGTGCATGTATGTACATGAGTGCAGGTGTGTATATGTATGTATATATATATACATCCATATTTGTATGCGTGTTTGTGTGAGTGTGCTCACAGTGACATTGATTAGTTTAGTCAAGAGAGTAAGAAAACAAGAGGAGATAAAGAGAAGAACCTGGAAGTGTTTTGACTGCATCAAAAGACACTTTGTTTGGATTTAAGCAGTTCTATTATTCAAGACTGTAACAGCTCCATTGTCTTTGATTTTGTGGTTTTCGCAAGATTCCCTCTCCACACTCCCTCTAGTGTTCTTAAATCCACTGGCTTTTACTCAGCTCTGCTGTATTCACTTAGCATTTCACACAACATTAAATTGTTAATTTCCCTTAGCTTTTCCATAACCTACAGGAGAATCCCTGAAAGGCAGACTAATTTTTATAAGTATTTTTCTCCCTGCAAAGATCGAGGAAATACAGATTAACAGGCAAAAGCAAGAGTAAAGTGTCAAATTAATTCTGAGACAGCAATTTGCACTTTGTTGGTGGGTAGAGGGGATGACTTGGTATGGAGAAAGGAGGAAGATTTTGTTTACAATACTTTTAATGAATGATTCATAGGCAAAAAAAAGAGAGTTGCACCAGGACACCACTTACCTGAGTTTCTCCCTGCTCCCCTCTCTAGCAAACACACAACCTTCCTTCAACATTCACACACTGATCACTTCAAGTGTTTAAAAAAAATAAAGTCAATGAGAACAAGATTCTCCTGGTCATCTCCCCAGCTCATGGGATGCCCTGAAGGCACAGTAATAAAACATATTTTCTGTTCATCTCATCTTATGGTCCAGTAAAAGAAAGAGAGCAAAGGGAAGACTGGATTAATGCATTTTTTTAAAAAAGGAAACAGAGATAAGCTAATCCCCCTCTAAAGGAATTAATTTTTTGTTTCTCCTTTATAACTGGAGTTTAAGTATTTATTTTACATTACCCATGGCCACAAATGAAGACTAGAAAAGGCCTAAACAATTGTGAAAATGAAATAAAAGCTCTCTTCCCAGGGTGGTTTTTATATAGATTTAAGACTGAACCATCTAGAAGCAGCACAGACTCAAACAAAACCCACCAAATATCAGAGTGAAGCTGGTGAGATTCTCCCACCTTACCCACCAAGTAAAAATTTAATATAGGAAGAAATAAACATCTGTGTCATGAGTAATTTGTGATCTTCTATCCATTATATTGAATATTTGTCATCTCCTGTACTAAATGACAGACATTTGTACAGACTTTTGTTCTATGGATAATACACTAACCAAAATATTTTAATTGGAACAAAGGAAATATACTAAGAAAAAGAAAATAGATAAAACTTATTTCAGACCAATCCAGGAAAATTAACAACAATTACCTGCAAATCTGATGAATTACCACACATGCTACAGAAGTACCACAAGAGCTCAGTCACCGTGTAATGCAAGTTGTGTCTTAACTCTAATATTTCACAGGGGTGTCAAGTTGAAATTGGATAATTATTACAATTATTTTAATATATTACCCATTCATAATACTTCAAAAGGCAGAATCTTCTCAATATTCTTCCCCAAGATATCACAGCTGGATGTTGACTTGCCTTTCTACACTAAAACTATTGATTCTCATCAGGCTGTGTCTTTATACCCACATACTCATTGACATGTTCTAAAACATATAGAAAAAATGTTTACTCAACATAATCAATATCTGTTCAATGCCCATTTTTGATTAATAAAAGAAATGTAGGTTTAGAAGCCATAAACTTTAAAATTATTCTGTAATTTATACTTTTTTCAGTATTTTCTGTATAATTACAATGTATAAAGATCTGCTAAAGCTCAGTAATATTGAATTATTTGCTTGTAGCATGAAGATATCAAGTCCCAATTCTTACACTGCACATTGCAGCAACAGAAAGCAGATTGATAATGATTGTTTCTAGCACAATATTTTTGGTTTATCATGCAGACTTACAGTGCTGTCAATGTATGCTTCAGTCCACACCACATCGTGCTCCTGGTCGATGACCTTAGGGCGGCTGAGGACATGGAGATATTCCATAACGTTCTCCTGCACGTCAGCCAGGGTAGAGATCTGAGTAAAAAACCCTGTCAAAACACACAGTTCCAGGTGACAAACCAGAGAGAACAAATAAAAGAGGTTTTCAAGAAGAAGCATGATGTGGTTTATGTCTGTCATGGTTTTTTGCCTCTTTCCAAAGAGAAGATACAAAAGAGGAATGTTTCATCAGAAGCAGCCTCAAACAGTAATAATTGGTGAAAACAGATGCCTGGGAAACCTTTGGCCAGCCCTCAAGGCCAGGGTTTCCAACACTGCTATGAACCACTGCACTGTCTGTACTAAACTTTTATTTCAAGACCACATTTTTTGTTTAATAGTTTGGGCATTTTCTTTTATTGCTGTCTGCTTTAAAATTTAGAAGCAGTATTATCTTTGCCCAACCATATCTCACCCACTTCTTCCTGTTTCAAGACAAATTTTGGAGCAGAACTACAGTAACAGAACGGTCATTGCACGTGCTCTGAAACATTCATCCCTACACAGTGCGACTGAAATTAAAAAAGCAATATGTAATTTACAAATACGGCAGGTCACAGAAAATGTAGGCTACAACTAAAATGGTGTACTTAGGTGATCCCAGCCTTGTGAATGCTTTAAAACATCTCTTCCAACCTGACAGCACTGAGAACAGCAGAGGCCTCAGCTATCTGAGCTGTCACCACTCCCTTTTCAGTGAGTAGATGTCAAGTATCCTTACACATCACAACCTTGGCATCTGGAGCCCACATCATGCAATAGTGATGAAGGACTGACAAATTGCAAGGCTAAAATTTCATCAGGCCTTATTTAAATGCATCGCTTGCCTTCATTTACTTTCTGTTAATGAGAAAAGACCAACATGAAAGAGGCCTCACTACAATTTTAATCATTTGACAAGATCACAGCTTCTGTGGAGCTGCAATATTAAGCTTTATTAAGCTCAGCAGAAAACATGGCAGCTGCAAAGAACTTCTGAGCTGTGTTTTTCTAGATGGGGCAATTTTGGCAAGACAGTTAAGATGGTCTGTCTGAATCTAGAACTTTCTGAATCAATACACCAGCCCATAATTCAAATGCTACAAAATAGATGTTTCTGAATTAATTTTATTGGTCTGTGAATTAAGGCACAGTGAAAAAACAGACTTTTTAGTAGAGATCTTTAAAATGAAACAAGTCCTGGCGGCATCCTAATAGATATCTTCAACTTGATAATAAAAAGGAGAAGGGATGCATTGTTTGTGGTTTTTTAAACTAATTTGATGATAGTATGATCTCATATATTCCTAGTATGGCATTCTTACTCATATATACTATTCATAACTGTTAAAATATTCAATATTCTGTTTAAGGAATTTTATATATTTGGTCCTTTTAACTTGGTGGAAATGTCAATACATAGTCAAGATAAAGAGTTGCTCTGAGCTCCTTGTGCACAGCTGCTGAGGCCATGTCAGCAAGAGCAGCAAGCCCATGCTCCAGTTTTTGCATTCCAACACCTGCTCCTCAGTTCCCTGGTGTGTGAATTATGCCACCTCAGAGCCCCCTCACAGTCAGCACTACCTTTTTTTCCTCCTCAGCAGGAAAAAACTCGTGAAGGAAATGGGTAAGATTTGGTAATGACAAGCATGAGAGATGTATAATAATGTGGTAAAAGACAGACACTTATGCTCTGCATGTGGGCTGCCTTTCCCCATTACACAGTCCCTGCATGTTTGGCTTGTTTTTCTCTAAAATGTCCACCATTAGACTGATAACTTTTCAAAATGCCTCCAGCTGATTTTTACATGGAGTGCAGTTTGTTTCCCGGGCACTGTGCAAAAGAGATGCAATGCTCTTACAACTAATACAATAGCAGAATGTTAAAATCCTCTGGGTGAGGACTAAGGAGTGAATTCATTGTTTCATGCAGCTGTAAAAGTCCCATGGATGCTCCCCCTTTCCCCCCAGGAGCCCTGGAGCAGGTGAACAAGCTCAGTGACTGGCTGCCTGCCACCCCAGAGCCCCCGTGCACGAGGGGCTGGGGTCATGCTGATAATGGGAATGGATGTCAGGGGGGCTTCCTGCACAGAGCTCTCCTCTGCTGACACAATGCTCTATAAACTGCTCCAGCTGGGGCACAACCTGCCTCGGGGCTCATCTGTCCTCTGCCTGAGCTGGAGCCACCATCAGACACGTGAAACATTTTTCTCTCTGTTGCTCTCTCAGCCTCTGCTCCTTGGCACAGATGAATCCAACCCTTTGTATACTTTATAATATGCCAAGGACAGTGATGACCCGGGACAAAATGTTTAAAAAACCAAATAAGTAAAACAGAGGCTGTCAAATTGCTACTGCAATAGTGAATTTTACTGAAAAAAAAAAAAAAAATCAATCCCAGCTGTTTGGTAAGCAAGTAATGCATTAAGTCTCAGCTTTATCTCTACAGCTTTCTGCTGGAAGTGATGCTGAGGGAAAGGCAGTGCCTGCCATTTCTAAGTTCTAGATGTTACTGCTAACATCTGGCACATGCACACTCAGCACTAGGAAATTTCCACCTTTGTTCACTTCAGAGCCTTAGTAAATCCTGTTTTCCTTAATATGCACTTGCTTATGATACAGAAGGGTAAATCACTGCAAATTCCACAAACCGCTCTGGAGGGATTTTGGGGATCTTGAATGTTTTAATGTATTTAAAATGGTTTGGTGTTTTGCTTCATTAAGCAAGCTCCCTCTAGATACGCCCTACTTAAACAGAAAAATGTAACAGAAAAACATGCTTGGGGTTTTTCAAGGTTTCACAATCAGAATGTAGAAGCTGAAGAAGTTTTGCAAGGTGGTGTGAATTTCCCCTGTGACCCATTTTGAGGGAAAGGGCTGCTGAGCACAGTCCAGTCAGCTGGAAACCCTGCAAACAGCCTTCATCTATGCTGTGCTTCCAAGGGGAAAATCACTGCAAAGAAAATTGATTTTAGGGTCATTCACCCTCAGTGACTACAACAAATTTTGGCCCACCCACACAAGGAGTAAACTGCAGTCCTGCTATTCAGCCAGTCTTTAGACCAGCTTTAATACAGTCCTCATCTGTTGTGCTGTAATCCCTCATTTCACTGAAATAAAATGAACAAGCTGTAAGTGAAAACTGCAAGGAAAAATCTAAACCTGAACTGTCCGACCACGACATGCTGTTTCCAATTGTGATTTTCAAAGCCAGAAAAAAAAAATATTTAATTAATGATTAGAGGTAGAAGATTTTTTACATTATAAGCTATCAGAGAGCAGGTATTGTAACTATTAAACTGAGAGGGAAATAAATTTATAGGCGTAACAGTCATTAAGCTGTTTAGTTGATTCATATGAGTAAGACTCTGACTCAAAGCAACATGGCTCTGAAAAGAACAAAGTGGTCCTGAAGAATGACAAAGGTGACCACTTTTCCCCTGTGGGAATAAGGAAGACGTGGACCAGATGATCTCCTAAGGCTGCCTCCATTGCCTGGTCCTAATTTCTGAGTTGCTGTACTTAGATCTTTATGAATTTGCAGAGCTGGGCTAAAAAGTTAAAAGATTTTGTTGATTAAATTGTCTTCAAAAAAGATGCTTCAAAGGATTCTTATACTATTATTTAAACTAAATTATGGTGTAATATTAGCTGATTAAGACAAGACTTCAAACTGAGTAATTTCCATCAGCTGGACATAACAGTAGTTAAAGAAATAATGACTAAATGGATAGCACCTGATGCAATTCATCATAATGTAATGTGGCACAATGGAAAAAAAGAACTTCTTTTCCCAAGAGGAAAGAAAAAGGAAAACCTGAAGATTAATTGGGGTTTGGGGCTGTTTTTTTCCTGAATCATTCCTACTTATACTAGTCAATCCTTTTACTGCGGCATCTCAGCATTTTGCATTTTTTAATGCTCTTTTCCTTAAAGGATACAAACCAGTTTTTTTCAATTACACTGTCAGTTTCTCAAGGGACATGATGTCTGGTGTTTTACATACCATGCCTAACTCAGCAGGATTGTACCCAAGGTTCTTAGAAACCAAACTCACTCTGAGTAATAACAGATAGAAGAGAACAAATGCTTTGAAATTAGTTTGTTCTCTGAACAAAAATTTAAGACCACATAGTTCAAAAGCTTCATACCTATTTTAAGGAAAAAAATTTCAGATTGGGGGGTTTTGCTCTTTAAATTGTATGTTACAAGACAATTAAGTATTTTCATTTTCTGGGTAAAAGAAAACAAGCCATCCTCTGTGATTAGTTGCCAGGGACACCATATCTGTAGAAGGGTCAGATGTACAGGAGGGCTCAGCTCAGGGGTACTGAAAACAAGGATTTCACAGAAGAAGGTTGACCAACCTTTGTTGGCACAGGCCATCCACTTCAGGTTATCAGCAAATGCAGCTTCTCTTCCAATCAGATAGGTAAAAATACGGACCTGAAAGTAAAATGCAAAAGATAAATCAATTAATACCGCATTTAAAACATATCCAGTGGAACTTCAGATACAGATGTGCAATTCACAGGAAAAACCCTTCCTAAGAAAGCATTACTGGTTAAGCAGTACAGTAGCTTAAAAAATATTTCTGCCAGTAATTTCTTCCTGACAAAATGTGGCTTTTGTTCTGTGTAATAGAATGGTTGACCTTTTTTAATGTGTTTAATATCTGACCTTTAACTACAGTTATGCTTAATGTGTAATTAAGAATGAACTAGAACCATTGGAGTAAAAAATAGAATGTTTCAGACAAATCTGTTTTGCACTTATAAATTCAGAAAATTTTATTATGTAGGGAAAGAGGCATTTAAGTAGCAAATACTTCTGTAGATAAAGAATCTGCAACACCAGGCAAGATAATTCCCCTCAGTTTTCAAGGTTCATATGACACAATATCATTGTCAACACAGAAACAGGTACTCGGAGGTAGCACTTTAACATAATTTCATTCATTTTGAAATTTAAAAAAAACTTATCATTTTTCCTGTTAGCAAATAATTCCTCATTCACAAACTATAATATTTGTAGTATAAAGTTGGTTTGTCCTAAGTTCCCATAGGTTTTTTTTCCCACAGAAGTAGTTATAAAATACTCTGAAAGTCTCCCTCTTTACTATCAGCTGGGACACCCTATTTTCTCACTGGCCTTTTATCCACTTTCTTAATGGCCACATCCTGTTTCTAGGCATACACAGTGCTTTGTGTTATCATCATGCCTAGAGACCAGATTCCAATCACAAAACTCTCCCCAGTCTCTCAAACATAAAATATGCACAGAACTGAATTGTGATTTATATGGTTTAAAAAGTCTACACACTGATGGTGTAGTGTTGCAAGTTTGAGCCCAACAGTCTGCATAATCCAACTCTAAGACTCTAAAGAACACAACATTAAACAAAAGAATGGTGCTTTTATGCTTTGTTGATTACTATGAAAGCATTAATAAAGAAATTCTTTGTTCTGCAAAGACTCATGAAAGTGCACTGTGAGATTTATAGTCTCAAAATACAGCATAAATCACTGTCATGTTTTATCTTCCTGCAAATGATGCTTGAAAATAGCCTATGATGAGACTGAATACTCAGAGATTTATACTTAATGATCTGCTTTAATCTATAGAGAATCAAACTAGACTATGTTGCTAATAAAAGGAGACCAGCCTTATCTAAACAGATGAGCAGTAAGCATGATAACAGGCACAGGCAGCAAAATAACCTACAAAAAATAAAATTTCAACAAACTGGTAACATGGATCACCATGAGCAATGGGCTGTCTCTAGGGTACTGTTGCAAAGATTTCAATGATTTTTTGCTGACTATATTTTCTATATCTAGTTTACTTAGTTTTGCTAGAAAATATTTTAAGCATGATAAAAATCTGCTAATTGTAATTACTTGAAAAAATAAAGGAATCTATGAAACAGAGAGCTAGAAAGTGAGTACTCCAGATTTATGAAGTGCTGTTTCCTTCCCTGTCCCAAGGTATTGTGTACTTTCCTCTACACACTTTCCATAGTACATGTTATACAAGTGATGTTTACCATGGACAGCATGAAGAAAAAAATCTTTTATACAGTGAAATACAAGTCACACTATAATTTTAAAATACCTTTTCTATATTGTTCATGAATTAATAGAATGATTATGATTCATGGTAGTATTGTAAGAAAATAGCCATGACAGGATAACAGGAAGGTATTTCAGTTAAAATTAAAGCCACTGATAATTTAAAGTTTTCCTCTACATTGACCTTAAAGACACATTATTGGTATTGCAAATACTGTTTAACACTTCATTCAGAATAGAGAGAAAAATCCTCAAGTTCAGTTCTGAGGGAAAACAATTCTAATTGTTCCTCTACTTCTAAAAGTTTCATTTGATCAGGTCATCGAACCCACCTCTGTAAACTTAATTCACTGTGAGCTTGCAGTGAAAAGCATTAACTCTACACTGCACAAGTATCCCAGAATCACAGAATTAACTAGCTTGGAAAAGACCTTTCAGATCATTGAGTCCAACCTATGACCCAACACCGCCTTGTGAATCAGATCATGGTAATAAATTATTAGAACTGGAAACTTGCATAAATAATTCTGCATTCTAAATCCCATTTTTCAAAACAAGCTGGGTTCTACACACCCTTTATACTGGTTTTTGTCATCTGGATAGGTACTCTACATGATAATTCTGGATGTATAACACCAATAAACAGGAAAAAAGTTACTGTGGCTACAGATTATTTTTTTTACTGCAGATACATAAAAATATAACAAAGTCAGTGTTACAGAAATACTACATTTATTTGGCAAGATAAGTTCAAACTACTTGAACTGTCATCCATGGATGAGACCTGTGCAGTGATGGGCTATCTATGGTGTAAAACAGGACACACAGCATTCTAATAACCACTGAAATTGTCATTGTTCATTGATTAGACATTAAGGACCAGATTTAATATCCATCCATATTTTCACATCCCAGGTAAGATATATGTTGGTAGGTAAAGCTGTTAATAGTGACCACTGAATTTTCTTCTTGTACATGTGAGATAACTGAATGGAAGTGTCAAATCAGTCTTGCTCTGCAAAATGATTGCAGGAAATGCTTATTTTACTCAAACAACCCACATATAGCAATAATATTGTGTAGTCTGATGATAAATATGTATAGCAATTATAGTAAATATGTATAGTAAATATAAATATGTATACTGAGGCATATGATTAAAATCTCTGTAATTAATAATAGATTAGGAAGTTTAAGATGAGTCTGTCTCATTCTGTTGTTTTTATTGGACCTTGGAGAAAATCAGCTTTAATAGATATATGCACTGTGCAGACACACCCTGATACAGCTATGTTGGTATCTCATGGTACAGCAGAATGTTAGGACACTAAAACTTCCTTTGAATCCATATGGAGAGCATGTTCAGTCAAGGGAGACTGAGTAAATTCAAAGTTGTTATGGGCACATCCCAGAAGATCCAGTAACAACATTTACATAGTCTACATATGCTCTGGCTAACTGAGAATAACACAAATGAGAAAAACACCCTTAAATATCAAGTGCTGTGACTGAATCAGGAGACCACTTCCTCCAGAGAGGGAATCAGCCTGGGAGGGTGTAGGTGCCTCTCTGGCAGAACACATGATAGAAAGAGTGCCCTTCACTCCCCCTTCAGTCCTGGATCATTTTGAAAGCTTTACAAGATACTTGAAAGAGATACCCAAATCAAAATATTTGCTGCGCCTGACCTGCAAAGTATTATATCAACTATATTAAGGCTTATCATGAGCTATGAGGTTTGGGGAAAGAAAATATTCTCAGGCAGATGCACTAGTCTTGAATTTCTATATCCCATCTACAAAACCGAAAATTGTAGATGTCAGACTCACTGAACACAAACCAAAGTTTACTCCAAGAGCAAAAACTTTAACCTTTAACCTTTTCAATTGCACTTGCTGTTTTGCACAGTAGGTGCTGCAGACTGCTGTTTTTAAGCCAATGTTCACAGAATATGGAGTGAGAGCTGAAAGAAACTGAAAGGACCTGAAAGGACAATGGAACTAGAAACTTTATTAGAGCTTGTGACTTTCTCACTTCATATTTTTCTGAAGCAAGTGTTGAATGGCAAAGAATACCATTTGAGATTGATATATTTTAATTATATTTAGAACAGCAGCTGTGGAAACCTCCCACATGTTACCTTCTTATTAAGTCTTATTCCTGACCTGGAAGGATCACTGACTGGAAACAGACTCCATTCAGTTCCTCTTCTCACTGAAAGATTGCTGCAAAAGCTCAAATGGTTCCAAACTGTGGAATCAAATTCATATTATGCAACCAACTAATTTCCACTGTGCATTTTCTGATGGTCACCTTCTGTGCACTCTGGTCCACACCAGAGTCCATACCAAACCAGTGAGAAGCACAACGTGCCAGCAGTTGTCACAAGCTGAGTTGGCAACTACTTCCATCTACACAGCAGAATTAACCAATATTAAAGCATCAAACCTCCAAGCTCAGAAGTTCAGACAAAACTGAACATAAAGCTTTCACTGAGTAAAACACTTGAATCAAAAGCAGATACATAACTGCACACATTATTGATATTTTTATCTTGTTTACCCTCTGGTTTTTCTTTCTTGTTGCCTTACCTAGGCACAGATCATGGTTTGGACGACATAAGGGGTTGCTCTCTATTTCTTTATTGCAGCCCCTCAAATTTTGAAGAATAAAAGAGTATTGTTAGCAAATTTCTTGCTTTTACATCCGGGGAATATTCTGAAGTTTGAACCTTTAAACTCCAGATAGAAAGTTTATCTAAAATCTCAGAGATGCATACACTCAACCATTAGTGAGGAAAGCTAAGAATGATGACTTCAATGACAGCTATTTCAGTGCTAAGCACTCCATCTGAAATATCCACTGAACACTTCCATCCATTATGTGTGGGCTAATCTGCAGTCCCTGAAGTGTCCTCACCTCTGAAACTTCATTAAACCTGCAGTGTAGCAAAGAGAATAGGGACCTTCTCCCATCTCTGTTAAGCAAGACAAGTCAATCTGCAAGATTCTACACAATGAAACTGTGAATTCATATCTTTGTGCCAAACAGCTGCTAAAACAGTATTCCCAGAAACTTTAAATACCGTGTGGGAGGGGAAATGGGACTTCTGCTTGAAGCTGACAGCGCAGACCTTTGTTTGCAGCTGCAAACTATTTCATGGACACCTTCAGCAAAACTGTCTTTCCTTTCTGGCTCAGCAAGAAATAAAAATAAGCCTGTGGCAAGAGCTATGGAGTTTAAGTGGGATATAGGGACAAAATTCAAGTTCCCATAGTGATAATCTGTGGTGGTCCAGGAACACCTCAGCTATGCTCTGCATAGAGGAGCAAATGGACTGACTGGGAACAATGGACCAGTGTGAGACCAAGTGAT